CTAATGCTTAAGATACTACCAGGCATTTTAGAAATGCCTATAGCCCTCAATAAAATAGTAACATCGAGAGAATAAACCATGCTTTAATGGAGTGTGCAAGGTACACATTAAGCAATACAAATCCTAAATAAGAGTCATAGGTAGATAGTAGCTTACTATCTCATCAACCAATCAAAACTCCTAGTGAGGTATAGTATAGAACTCCTAGTAATTATATTAATTTTATATATTTTCAGGTACTTATTCTAATTTGCTAAAGAAATAAGTTAAAACTAAGCTTAAGTAAGTGCATCTTTATAGGTTATAACAAGGATATGAAGGCATAAGCACCCAAAAAATATTCACAATTCAACATATCCATTTTGATAAATCCATCGTATTGGCAAACGGGTCTACAAGGGAAGACAATGACCACAAAATAAGAGGTGATAGCCAGTAGTTTGAAACAATGCCTTCACTATTTGAAACTTTACTTTTCAATGATATTACCCATTGATCTTAGTGAAGAACATGATAACGATGAAGATTCACATGGTCATTGAGATGAAATTGTGCCTTTTTTACCTAGAAGCGCTAATGGAAAAGCTTGTGTACTCTAATGGAAAAGCTTGTGTACTCTAATGGCACAAAGATTATGTAAATTCAGATACTTTGCGTACTCTAATAGTTGGAAAAGAACAACCAATGTCATTGCTTGAAACCACATAAGGAAATGATTCAAAACATTAGAAGATGGCTATGGAAGGAGACATGTTTCAAAGTAACAAACCCTATAAAGTCACCAAGAGGAAGAAAGGTAGTTGGTAAGCATTATGTGTGTTTAAGATAAAAAAGGGGCTTAATGGCAAACTTGAAAAATATAGGCAAGGTTAGTGACAAAGGAAGTTATTAAAAAACAAGGCATTAATTTGATGAAATTTTTTCCCCAGTGATCAAATTGGTCTCAATTAGGTTGGTATGTGAGTCGCTTGTCAAGCATAATTTATAACTCGAGCAATTGGATGCGAGCCATTATTTTCTTATGGGGAACGTAAGTTTCACATGGGGAACATAAAGAGGAAGAATACATGCAACAACCAAAAGGCTTTATTGAGAAGGGCAAACACGGGCTTATATGCAAATTAAAGTAAGTCATTTTATAGGCAGATATGCTTATGACTAACCTTGATTATACAAGGAATAAGTAAAATCATTACATTTATTTAAAATTCTTTGATGATGATGTATACTGCTTTTAGTCTTATATGTAGATGACGTGCATTTAGTGCACACGATAAGACCACTATTGATGAACTTGAAACATCCTTGAGCAACAGACTGCAAGAGCTCAAAGCAACAATGCAAATCCTTGGGAATGGAATTGGAAGGGATAGGCACAATAATTTTTTGGTACTTTTTCACACGGGTTACATTGAAAAAGGTGCTTTACAAATTTGGCATGGGCAATGCAAAAGTGGTAAAAACAGCCCTAGTGTCTCATTTCATATTGTCTTCAAAACAAAATCCAAAAAAGCATGGTTAAGGTACCCTAGACAAATGAAGTTGGGAGTTTAACATTCACCATGATCTTTACTAAATCTAATAACTCATTTAGTTGTTGCTCTGAGTTGGTTTATCGCGAACCATGAAAAGGAAAATTAAAAACAACAATATGGATGCTTCATAGTTAAAAGCAGTGTTTAAAAAACGCCGAGTCGAACCGGAATCGCCCGGTTCGACTCGGGAATCACCATTGACGGATAGAATCGATAAAAAACGGGAATCGTTCGGTTCTAGAGAAAACCGGACGATTCTGCACAGTGACTCGTCGATTCACTGTACGGAATCGGCGAGTCCCGTAACGAAGAACAGTATTTTTTTTTTTTTTTTTTTTTTTTTTTTTTTTTAGTTTGTAATTCCTATGTATTAGATTTTTTGTTTAGTACTTGATTCGATTTTTTGTTAATCCATGATCGTAATGTTTTTTTTTTTTTGTTTTAATACCTATTGTATTCGTAATTTTTTAGTTTTTTTTTTTTGTTTTT